TCATTTCCCACTTTTATCATGTTTTTCAGGTCAGGACGTCGGGCCGGGAGCATGAGCTGACGGAGGCTTCAGGATATTTATGTTTTGACTGTATATGTATATTGATGATTACGCTTCCGCTAATGATGTTTTGATGACTTCTGACGTATTTACATTTTGACGAACTTTTGGAGAACTTTATGCTTTCAGTAACCAGATGATTTTATTAAAATTTAAAATAACGGCTTTCCAATTAAGTCACGATTTTTAAGGTAGCACCCTAATCAGTTTTCGCAAAGTAAAAAGGTTTTATTTTTAAAAGACTTTGCGAAATTTTCGCACTCTGATTTTACGATAAGGAGGGGTGTTACACAAATACTAGACGCTGTCTACCCAGACAATATAATCGTGGGCGCTAACTAAAATAAAATATTTAATTTATTTAAATGAGACAAATACGAGCAATTAATATTCCAAACACATAAAATAATAATAATAATGTATTCAAAATACATACAAGTAAGTCATCTAATTACTCACGTATTATGTGGTTCTAAACACACATAATTATTATTCAAATTATATAAGCTAAACAAATTCATAGATCAAAATAAGGTGCTAAAATATTTATCAAAATTTTTAAAATTTTAAATTGTTAAACAAACTCGAAGCTTCATTTTGTTCATTGAATATGTCAAAAATATTTAATAATTATTGGACAATAGTTCTTAGTTTGAAATATACATGTCTATCGACAATTCTGTGGAGCAATCGAATAGCTCCGTTATAGAGTTATTATAATTTTATGGACTGACATGTGTCCAATGTATATTTAATGCAGGACACACTATTTGTGATTAACTATAGATGACTCCATAAGTCGAGCCAGCGGATAGTTTCGTAGCAAAACTGTTTATTTCACTTTGGGAGATTCTTCATAAATTTGAAACAAGAAAAAAAATAAGCAGTATTTAATAAGATTTTCGTTTACACTCCGTTTACGGCCCCCAAATGTGATCATCACCGCTTGAAGAGTGCAGCTGATTGGCTGATCAGATCGACGGTGACATAGAGCAAATTTACGCACTTACCCTTCTTTTCTCTCTCGCGCACAGGCACAGCCATAAAATAAAACACCCACACACACACACATTCCCTGCTGTGAATGTGAATCTATGGGTGCTCCGAAGAAGCCTCTGATGCTAACTCTGCTTATATTTTTCGATTTTCTTATATGCGAAATTGTCGCTGAAGGCGTCACCAGGGAGCAAGCCAAGCAGCTCAGAGATGAGGTTATCACATTCTCAATATCGCCGCAACTCCATTAATAAGCTTAATAAATTGGTCTCAAACTGGTTTGATGGCTGTGTTTTATGAGTTGCTGTATTTTGTTGTATGAGATAGTAGTATCCACGTGAAATGGGGTTAAGGAGATAAGAAATTTTGAAAATAATGTGTATACAAGGGCTCATTTTTGTGTGTCTGGGATTTTTTTTTTTTTTTTTTTTTTTTTTTTTTTTTTTTTTTTTTTTTGAAATAATGTGTATACAATGGCTCATTTATAGGAAAATTTGATCTTTGGTTAATTTTAATTTTGTTCTGAGGGGAATAAATTGAGAATATAATTAGGCGAATCCAAAGATGGCATATTTTATTTTGTTCTGGAAAACATGGTTCATCTGTGATGAGAAAGGAGCATGAGAAGTTCAATTTCAAGGGAAAGTATGAACTTTCTTGATCCTATAACTCCGAGCTCCAGTTATTTGATTGTGAGGTGAAACTTGTCTCATGAGGATGGGAATTTAATAGAATACATTTATTTGTTGCTATGTAGTACATGTGGATTTTCATGTTTAGGTTAATGGCCGACTGTGAGTACAGTCATTTTAACCAATTAATTTGTGCGGCTTAGGTGCGTGAGATGTTTTATCATGCTTTTGATGGATACATGGATCATGCATTTCCACACGATGAGTTGAAGCCTTTATCATGTGGAGGAGAAGATACACTTGGAGGATATGCATTAACATTGGTGACTGCAACAACTACATATTTGCTCCGTGTTTTTAATATGCCAGTGTATCTTTAGTTAACTTTAATCAGCTTCTATATCACGTTTCTCTATCAGATTGATTCATTGGACACACTGGCTCTGCTTGGCGATCAAGAGCGCTTTTCTACATCGGTTGAATGGATTGGTAAAATTCTTCGATTTGATATTGTGAGTATAGACTTAGTGTTTGTCTTGCATGATAACTGAACGTATCAGTGAATTTTTAAATATTATTTTATTTAGTTATCCTGATATTTCTATATAAACATGAAAATCTAACCAATTTGATACACAACTTTTGCTTATAGTTCAGTAGGAGAATGTTACAGGTACTTTATGCTGGCTATAGTGTATCATACATGGAGTCAACAACAATACTCTCTGACTTTTTTGAGTTTGAATGAATATCTATTCTGGTCATTTTTTTTTTCTTTTCTTTTCTTCGTTTCTTAAAAATGATAAACTATCAATAGAAAAATATGTGAACCCCAACTACACATTGAATGCTGAACACCAATTGGCCAGAGTATTGGTGGATGGTGTATTATTTTGGGACTGTTACCAATGATAGTTGTTTTGGTTTTTAAACTTATTCTCTCAGTTCATCCCTCGTGTTACAATTATTTGTTTCCATACTTAATGTTCATAGTAATATGCTGTATTAAATTATGAAGGATATAGTATTGTGAATTTTTTATTAACCGATTGTAATGCTATAATGCGTCAATATTATATGTTTGCTGAAACTCATGTACATGTTGTCCAAGTTCCTTATTGTGATTACTATTGCTCCAGTCATTGAAAAGCAATGGTAAAGTATGATGAAAAACATTAGTGGTGGTAGCGTTCTTCAGAGTTAACTCTGTGGCTAAAATTTGGAGTTGTTTCTTTATTTGCAGAATAAGACTGTATCTGTGTTTGAAACAACAATAAGAATACTTGGAGGCCTACTCTCTGCTCATCTCATTGCCAGCGATTATAAGACGGTATAACTTCAGACAGGAGATAACTTTTTTTGTTGGTATTTATATTATTACAATCATTATAATTATTACTTTAGTTAGTGGAAGAAATTATTCAAATGAACTGCTATGTATTTGAAACTATCACCTACATTGTACAGATATGGTTGATCCTTGAACAACAATTTTATCGGCGTCATTGTATCTGATACTTCATACTAGATAATTTACTTGGATCTGGTTGCTGTATTTTTCTTCTTGATAATATGTAAAACGAGGTGCATAGTGTAGGCCAATGTGTTAGGAGGGACACTACCATCCTGAAGAGCTTCGATATTTATATCTGAGTGGACTTGTTGGCTCATGTGAAGTTCTGCCTATGGTGTTTTCCAAATCCTATGTAATACTTGTTCTTTTTTGTTTGGTTGAACGATTTTGTGTCAAGTGGAATTAGGGATTCATTGTCCTGGTAAAAGAATAGTTAACCTTTTCAGGTTTGAATACTTATATGGTGAGTTTTTGTCTGTTTTTTCCCCAAGAATTTGCAACATGATTTTTTTCTACTGCAGGGAATGAGTGTACCCTCATATGATGGTGAATTACTTCACTTGGCGGAGGATTTAGCCCGTAGAATGCTACCAGCATTCGATACTCCTACCGGTACCGTCCATAAATTATTATCAATTTATAGCAACTTTGAAAAACTTGATTCAATTTTGACTTGTATATCCAAATTGAAGTTGATGTTACTAAGTTAACATGTATAACAATAATGAAGTTCCAAGTGAATTTGAGTGTGTATAGTTCTTTTACGAAGCTCTTGAGCATTTTTCTGTTCTCTTACCATTGTTTGTTTTCAAACACTGCTTCACGCGCAAGCTCACTTAGCTGTTTAAACATGAGCAGTTGAAGTTACCATAGCCATACGCTCATTTTTAAAGAATGAGTATGCATCAATACTAATTACTGAGAATAATATGTACTACAAATAGTGCGAATGTGCAATATTATGTTTTCTCCACTTGTTTTTGGTAGTATTTTCTGATACTGTAAGTTATACCTGCTGCAGGAATTCCTTTTGGGTCAGTAAATCTAATGCATGGAGTAGATGAAAATGAAAGCAAGGCAAACCCTCTTTGTATTCTCTTCACCCTCTTAAGTCTTAACATACTGTGTATTTACTATATTAGTGAATAATTATGTGATAAAGCATATTTACAGTAGTCTGCTTTCTGCCTAATCTATTATGACTACAACTTGCATTGTTATATCCTTTTCAAATTGTTTTTTAATTTCTTTCATTTTATGAGCTCACTGCCCCTGTATGTTTCCACCGCTGTCAAAGAATTTACAGTTCTGTTTGAAAAATAGCTGTATAAACTGTACCTCCCAATATCTGATCACTCATACTAGGACTATCTGATCAAGAAGATATGTCTGTATATATTGGCCTAACCATGTTTTGTTGTAATGCTTCTTTAAATATTTTCACATAGCTCTATTGCACGAGCAGCTCCAGTTGAAGTCTTATCTTCCATTAGATATGTGCAGGAAATACTTTTATGTGTTCTTGAAGGCTCTATATATGATGATATTTTCTGAATACATGGAATGGAATGTGACATATCTATCACAGTAAATTGGGTTTCAAATATGAAGCAGCCATCTTTTTTGTTTTTAGCATTTCTTTTCTTCAATTTTAATATAATAATATGAAACATATCATCTTTGCAGATAACATCAACAGCTGGAGGTGGAACCCTGACTTTGGAATTTGGGGTGCTTAGTCGCTTGACAAATGATCCTAGTAAGTAATGCAATAATGTCATCTTGTGCCCTAACGAGTCCATGTTTTTTAGGTGGGGTATCAAACATCATCTCTTCTCTGCATTTGCTGCTAAGGTTTCTATGTTTTTCTAGAATACATTCTGATAAGATGTAAGCACTGTTTTCTACTGAAAGAACACATTCCCCTGGAGCTTCCGAAGGATTTCATTAAGAATTACATTTATTTATTTATTTATTTTTTTAAGAAAAAAAAGAGATGTCCTGTTAGATGTAATGATCTATGATAAAGCAAACACAAGATAATGTAGTTTAGCGTACTAATTTTTGGGTGAACACTGTTTTTGTGGCTGATCTACGTTTTTGCAATAGAAAAGTATGAGATGACCGTATAACCTAGTTGGAAATTTGATATTATGGTGTATGTTTTTAATTTTCTAAATATTTCTTATATGGAATGTAGTTTTTGAACAAGTCACGAAGAATGCAGTTCGAGGACTCTGGGCTCGTCGTTCAAGGATTAACCTTGTTGGTGCGCATGTTGATGTCTTCTCTGGTGAATGGACTCAGAAGGTCATTCATTCGACCCAGTGATGTGGTCTTTAAGTTATCCATATGTATGATTAGATAACTGTAATCGGAATAGTTGTTTTACTGTTGTTTTGCAGGATGCTGGAATAGGAACGAGTATAGACTCTTTTTACGAGTACCTACTGAAGGTGAATTCTCTTCTTTGGGAAACTGTAAACTGTAATGCTGTACTTTATTATGTTTAGTTTATGTGATTTGATTTTCTTTTTTGAATTTTTCTTGGTAAACACAATCTTTCTCTATGGCTTTTAGTTCCTATAAAATTATTACCCAATAAATTATTACCCAATCTTTCTCCATGGCTTTCATTTTTGCATGCACATCTATCTTATTTTTTGCAAAACCAGCAGTCTCGTTGCTTAAAAAAAGAAAAATCAGGAGAGCCAAAGAAAAAGGAAAATCGAAAATGATTGATTGAGAAAGAAGGCAATAATTCTTTGCCAAGTGCTCTGAAACAATATTTATGAAAAGTTGGCTGGAGGAGAAATATATTACATCTTTTCTGCTTTGTTTGTATCCGCTCATATACATATATTTGCTCATAATACATCTGTTATTGAAAAAAGCGTGGAATCTTGAAATTCTGCTCTGATTGATATTTGGCATCAGGCTTATTTATTATTTGGTGATGAAGAGTATCTTTTCATTTTCCAAGAAGCATACAAGGCCGCAATGCTCTACCTTTTTAAGGACCCTTGGTGGGTAGAATTCATTGGTCACCTTTCCTATTTTCGTATTTCATCAGCCTTGTTCAACTGGTCGTCTTTATTCATTTATTCCCTCTAAACAATTAAGAGTACCTTTCTGATGCCTTGAATTAGGTATGTGGAGGTAAACATGAATTCTGCTGCCCTTGTTTGGCCATTATTCAATAGCCTGCAGGCTTTCTGGCCTGGTCTTCAGGTCTTTACTTTCTCTTTTCCCTTCTTTTCTTGGTTATATTTTTCTTATATGCTTGTTTACCCCATACTTTAAAGTTGTAAGATATGGTATTATCTTTTGTAACTGAAACTACTCGTGATCATTGTGGAAGGTCCTGGCTGGAGATATTGATCCTGCAATTAGAACTCATGCTGCTTTCTTTAGTGTCTGGAAACGGTATAATTTCACTCCAGAGGGTTTCAATCTGGCCACTTCCAAAGTTCAGGTAGATTACTTATTTCCCATTCTGTATTTTTTTTTTTTTTTTTTTTTTTTTTTTTTTGTTTTTTTGGGGAATCTAGTGTAATAAGTGAGAAATGAGAAGTAAAACCCATTTGTGATGAGTGGCTAATCCTTAATTCTTTCTCAATGACAAACTTTTGATGGATTGATGTAAGTGCTCAATGGATGAACAGCCTCTGCTTAATTGAATGTTGGGTGAAAAAAAAATGTAACAGATTTTATATATAGGACAGAGCCCTGCCCCTTCTCATCTTATGCAAGAACTATTGGTAGGTTGCCACTGGAGAGAAGATGTAAGAAATGAACTACTCCATACATTGTTTGAACCTAAGTAGGTCTTGTACGAGCATGCAGTGAAGAACACTTCTGATGGATCTTTGACCCCTCACACAGTTCCCTAAACTACATCTTATCTTAATATTAAAAAACAGAAAACAGAACACACTTACACCCCCCTTCCCCCCTCCCCCCAACCCCCAAAAGAATCCTAAAGAATTGCTGCACTGATATAACAAAACCCCTAAAAGAAGACCCTTGGTAAAACAAAGACTGGCAAGAAAAAAAAAAAAAGAAAAGATTGATGGAAGAGTAAAAATGAAACCAGAAAACTGAGTTTTGTCAGTCAAACTAAGTCCATTGGATGACATTTATTTTCAATTTCATCAAATTCCTTAATATGTAACACATCTTTACCATTCCATGATTTGTTAAGTGTGTTTCTATTGTTAGCTTAACATCATGATCTTATGACTACTTGTCTATGTTGTCCCCAGCAAGGTCAGAAAAGCTATCCATTACGTCCGGAACTAATAGAAAGCACATATTGGCTGTACAAAGCTACCCGAAATCCCAGGTCTGTATCTGTTTTTGTTAAACAGATGGTCATGTGAAGGACCAATGTTTATTGAAGTTCCTTATTAAATCTTTGGTTACTAATAGTGAACATTATAAAACATTTATATTATTAGTTATCCCTCAACAGATGACGCTCCTTTTCAAACATCAGATGCTAAAGCATGTTAACATGCTTAATTGTCATGTAATTTGAATCTCTGTTGCAGGTATCTTGATGTTGGAAGGGAAATGCTTGCCAGCTTGCAGTTGACCCGATGCACATGTGGATATTGTCATATATCGGATGTTGAATTTCACCAGCATGAAGATCACATGGAAAGCTTTTTCTTAGCTGAGACCGTGAGTAGTAGTTGTTGGGTGGTGCATGTACGCCCATGCGTGTGGAAAATTGGACATCCCGTGTTCTATTTTATTTTTTCATATTATTTATGTTTTGAGTTTGAGCTAATCTCTCCTCCTATCTCTCTACTTTATGTTTACTCTTTTCAGGTCAAATACCTTTGGTTGCTATTTGATTTAGCAGCTGGTCCAGATAACCTAGTTGAGAATGGCCCATACAAGTAAGTTGCTTGTATTATGAGTTTGGTCGGAAAGTCAATTCTACAGACAAATGACGTCGTTCAATAACTAATAGAATCTCTATTTCAGATATATCTTCAGTACTGAAGGTCACTTACTTCCCTTAACTCCACCAATATCTTTGACAAGTGAAAACTGTCCATATCTTGGAGCATACTGGAAAAGTTGCTACCCTGGACAAGAAACCTGCACTTCAGACATTATGAACGACTATGGTGGCAAAAATTACTCAGAATCTTTTACCGATATCAAGAGTTATCTATCCCCCACAGGTTTCCAAAAGCCGCCTGCCTCGGAATTAATTAAGGTTAGTCCTACCATGATGCCTTTTTTTTTTTTTCTTTTTTTCTATGAAACAACGTTTTTACAAACTTTCTCTAGTAGAAGAGAAGATATGCAATAAAAGTACATCCAACTGCAATTGACCTATTTTATTCTCTCTCTCTCTCTCTCTCTGTATTTTTTTTTCGTTCCTATTATCATTATTATTGGACTGAACCATAAGGGAATATTTGTAACTAGTCTTATACTTACAAGTCTCCATTTGTTTATGATAGGGGTTCTCAACTCAGGGACAAATGTATGGTCTATCATATGTCATCTTGGATCATAATCCTGTACACGAGTTACCAAGCGGTCCTATACAGGATGACAATGTGGTTGACAGATCACCGGATTTATTAGTTTCGAACCACAGCTCTGAAAATTCGGCGCAGACTGATGACGATCATGATCTAGGAGATAATCCCAGAGCACCCTTCCTCGAAATTAGAACCCCAGAAATTTTTGTTAGTGTTAATTATACAGACGAGAAGGCTGAGGCAATGGATAACTAATTTTATCAAGAAGTATTTTTGCAGAAGGAAATTAATTTAATGGGTGGCGATTTGGAGGTTCTCAGTTAAAAGTGGAGACTTCGAAGAATGGATCGTTTAGTTTTTCCCCTCGTGGCCTTTTTACGGATAATGTACTTCTTTTGTAGGTGGGAAAAATGCTACTGAGTGGCCATTGATACTGATATAGCTTACATTAATATGGTATATGGATATTGGTTTTAGAGGTGTATTTATTTTGACTCTTGTTGGCTTTAGACAATTGTTCTTTTAACAGCTCATATACGAATATAAGTAGGAAAAATGAAGAGGAGGGAGCTATTTGTTGTTACATTAGTCATGGTATACTTCTGTACAACTATTTGGATCCAGACAAAAGGTGGTTGATTGAAAGTATGTTGGTAAGCATTGAAGTTCAATACAAAGAATCTTGTATGAAGTTTCATATTTAATTTTTAATGACATTGAATTTTGACTGCATTATTAAAGTTCGACTTGATCTAATTCGCTAGATCTAGAGGTTTACATTCATTCTTATTTCTTTCACTATCCTTATTTTCTTTCTCATATGATCTTAATTCTCTCTCTCTCTCTCTCTATATATATATATATATATATATATATATATAATATACTAGAAGGCTGTGTGCACAGCGACCCAAGTCAGGTAGGCATTTGAGTGCCACTAAATTGCAAAGAAGGTTAATCCAGTGTAGGCATGAACATTATATTAGGTAAACATCAATCCATAATATACACAAACGGAGTTTGTAGTAGCTGGACAACTCGAATATTTATCAATCGTTCATGATAATTCTGAAGCATCTACATGTAAATAGATGCTTGGAATTATGCCAAGAATATTTGGCCTACACAAAACCTAAGTTTGCATCGCACTGATGCCACTAAGAAGTTACAAAACACAACAAGTTCTATATTTAAATAGATGGCTGAATTTTTTGTCTAATCCATTTAAAAAAA